ACGAATAAAGTAACCAGCCCAGTAGCTGGACACAGAAATAAAAGATTTCCAATTTGTCTTCCCCAGTCTATTGCATCCCCCGATTCAGGCCTCTCATTACCTTCACTCGCTGAAACTGTCTTGAGTCATCAATGACTTCCATGATCTTCCTTGGAATACATTCCTGGTTTGTCTTCTAGTAGGACAGATTCTGCTGTCTCTCTGACTTCAGATTCTCTGACTGCCTTGTTGGTTAATCCTCATTTCTCTGATTAAACCTCCCCATGTCTTGGGGCTAAGTCCCGAGACCTCCTCTCTTCTCCATGTAGAGTTGGTCTCTTGGTGGTCTCGTCTAGTCTAAATTCCATCTTCATGTATGCTTTTGGATCTGGACTTTGTCTCACTCATACTTATCCCCTTGAACTCTGCCTCATATATTCAGCTGCCTTCTTCCATCTCCACTTAGTTATAAAAGGAATCTCAAGCTGAAACATTTAAAAAGAACCTCATCCTCCAGCTTTTCTGAAACTCAGCTCTCTCTCATTCTTTACCTCAGAAGATGGTCCTACCATTTACTCAAGCCAGGTCTTCAGAACCTGTTTCATCTTCTGTTTTCTCCTCGTACCCCTCATCAAATCTCCTTGGTTTCCTCATCAAAGTATAGACCAACTCCTAGTATTCTCAAAACTTCCATAGCTACCAACTTCACCCAAGGACATCAACAGTCTTCTGTCTATTCTCCCTGGTTCTACTTGCTTAGCATTAGATTGCTGCCTAACAACAGAGTCATGATGCAGACATATATGTCAGATCAGGTCTCTGGTTTAAAACTCTAAAATGTCCTCCATATCACTCATTGTAGAAGCCAACAACACAGGGGGCTATGCATTCTTTCCTAAACTGGTCCCATCCTATTCTGGCCTAGCCTTACAACTTCTCTTTATCACTCTGTGTGTTCCAGATACTCTGGTATTTTCCACTCTTGAACAGGTCAAGATGCTCTTTCCATGAGGACTTTTCACTAATTGTTCATCTTCCTATAAAAGTGTTTCCCAGACATGCTCAGTGCTCCCTCCTTCAAAACTTTGTTCAAATGAATCTTCTTTTGGGAGGTCTTCAATACCATATTTAAAATTCTAATATTCTTTGTCCACTTCAAATGCCACATGCCCTTTCCCTACTTTTGTTTTCTCCACAGCAATTATCACCATCGAATGTGTCATGTGTATTTTAATTATTTCTTTTATGGCCAGTAGTCCCCTTTCTCAAATATAATTTAAATTCTGTTACTGTGACTGCAAGAGTCCTTTTTTGCTATTTTATTTTCTTTTAGTTCCCTGTGTCTAAAGCCTTGTCTGAAACATAAGTGGGTAAGTGAATAGGACCAGTATGAGATAGTCTAGAAAGAAAGTAATTGTCAAAGAGAAGGAAGTTTTCCAGTTCATTAAAATACACAAACAACTCTCACTCCCTTTGTCTCTGGGACCTGTTTCATAGAACAACTCTCACTCCCTTTGTCTCTGGGACCTGTTTCATAGTAAAAAGGGGAAGTCAGACACTTAGTGACAAAAGAACTCAAGAGGGACCATCAGCTCTCTTTAAAGTTGTGTTCTGAGAAAGACAGGAATAAATTGTGAGTACTATTTTTAAAAAACACAGAAAAATTAACACATATTCCAATAATTTGATAATATACTGATGAAGATATGGAGAAACTGGAACTCTCATGCACTGCTGGTGGGAATATAAAAGGGCATAACTGCTTTAAACAATAGTCTGGCCATCCCTCCAACAATAAAACATATAATTATCATAACCTAGTAATTGTACTTTGAAATATACACCCAGGGGAAATGAACACTACTGCACACAGAATCTTAGACATGAATATTCATAACAGGATTATTCAGAAAAGGTGGGAAAAATCAGCCAGGTGTATTGGCACATGCTTTTAATCCCAGCACTTGGGAGGCAAAGGCAGGTGGATCTTTGTGAGTTCAAGGCCAGTCTGGTCTACATAGCAAGTTCCAGGACAGCTGGGGCTACAAGGAGACCCTGCCTCAAAAAGACAAAAAAAAGGGGGGGGGGATCTAAACTCCATGATGATTAAACAAAGTATGGTATATTATACAATGGAATGTTATTTGATCATAAAGAGAAAATGAAAGCCAGGCATGGCGGTGCACGCCTTTAATCCCAGCACTTGGGAGGCAGAGGCAGGAGGATCTTTGTGAGTTTGAGGCTAGCTTGGTCTACACAGCAAGTTCTAGGCCAGCTGGGGCTACAGGTAGACCCTGTCTAAAAACAACAACAAGAACAAAAAAATGAGCTTTGAGAATATCATGTTAACATAAAAGGGTCAGTTCTCAGAAGACCACACATGATTACATAATTCTACTCCTATGAAAGACCAGAACAGGAAAATCTAGAGTCAGAAAAGTGACTAGTAATTGCATAGGAGTGAGTGGCATACTTTAATCAGTGAATAGGGCACTGATAATGAAATAGTACAGGATTTCTTTATGAGGTGAGGAAAATGTTTTAAAATTGACCATGATGATGGCTTCAACTGTCTGTGAATATAAAAGAAATCATTAAATTGCACATTGTAAGTAGATGAATTGTATGGGAGGGGAAGCACATCTCAATAAAGCTATTATAAATTAATTCAGTAGCCAGGCATGGTCACACATTTCTATAAGCCCAGTACTTCAGAAGCAGAAGCAGAAGGATCACCCATGAGTTCAAGACCAGCCTGGTCGACATGGTGAATTCCAGGCCAGCTAGGGCTATATAGCAAGACCTTGTCTCAAATAACTGAAAAAATAAAAATTAAAAAATTAACTCAGTAAATGTGACTTTGGAAGTGAAAACCCACCTTCTCCTTAACTAATCAGCATCACAAGTCTGGCTTTCATGCCATGAAACTCCATCTATTCCATGTGCAGCTGGTGTCTCCTGTTCCCTACCACTCAATGAACATCTTCTGGATGGTTCTATGTGTAACATATTCTATCTCCTTGATATCTATGTTTTGCATGAATTTTAAAATAACCCCCACCTATAAGCACATACTTTCCCTCTCAACTATAATGCAGAGTTACAGATCATCCCCAAAGCCCTGAAGACTTTTTTCAATAGCCTTAGATTATGTCCCAGAACTCATCCATTATTTCATCTAGCTAAATGTGATGGGAGATGTCAACAGACAGAGCACTTAGCCCATTAATAAAATTACGTTCAAGTCTATACATCATTTCTTTCCTTATCAATTGTTTCATTTAATCATTCAAATTTATATTAGGAACTACAAAAAACATCCATATGTACAACCAAGAATTGTAAAATGACACAATTAGAAGTATCATTAGACATGTTCAGATCAGGTTCCCTCACTTTATAATTTGAAGAAACAGATTTAAAAAGAAAACCTGACTTTTCTTTAATGTCAAGAAACAGTCAGTCCACACTCAAGGTTTCTCTTGTCATTCCAACCTGATAACTGTAAGATAAACAAAAATTCTCAATGAGTATACACACACACACACACACACATACACACACAGAGAGAGAGAGAGAGAGAGAGAGAGAGAGAGAGAGAGATGCAGAGAAAATCACACAAAGATAATACAATGTTTTAACTTCTATTTCTTTATCTACAAAAATATTTTAAATAGTCTTAGATAATATAAACCCTTGGCCACTCTTCTTTTAATCATAATGGAAATATAATCAATACATATGTTGAGTTACATGCACGATTTTATGAAACAAGTTTAAATTACTAATGGTTTTCTCACATAATTAATTCATAAAAGCGCTAGCTTTAGTAGTCATCTGAAATTAAAATGGCAAGTCTCCCCCCCACTTTGAATCATGAGGTTTTTTTTGTCATTGAAGAACATGAAAATCTCAGAAAGTTTTAGTTCCCAATGGCATCTTTTTAAATAGCTGAAATCTACCACATTTGATAACTAACAATAATGAGGACTCGTATATTTTTGCCAAACGCACAAGAAAAACAACTGAGATTCTCAACATCACCCTCTCATTGTGAAAGATTTTGTGTGGGTGTCTAGGGAAAGAACTTCAACAGCAGGGAAAATATGGGCAAACAGTGAGGGAGGACTTTTAAGAAACCACTGCTTTATTCCTTCCACTGGGCAGCAACTTGTACTAATGAAACTCAGGTGGATACTAGACAGCAAGCCCCAGGGTTTCCCTGGTAATGCTACCCTCAGCCCTGACAATGGAGGCTCCTATGAGCCTCCCAGAGAGGTGCTGCTTAAAAGAGAAACTGAAAAGAGTAAATAGGATCATATTACAGTGTAGCAGCTGAAACCCATAGCTCTAGGGCACAATATAAAGTGATTTTTCTTAAACTACCTTTCAGGAGCACAGATATACCAAATAACATGCATTTCTACCACATGAGACATGGGCATAATGTTTATACACAAGCGTGAACCTAAGGATAACTGGTTCAAAGATGAACAGATTCAGTTAAGAGATGACTGGCTTCTGTCTCTTTTTCAGCTCCACTAGTAGTTACTCCCTACAGGCGTGCTTGTGTGTCACTCAACAGGTCTGTTTCCCACTTAAGTGAGATTATCCTCAGACTTCACTTGCAACTTGAGGGTTGACTCTTAACCTTCAGTCCACTGCTGTTTAATACTATGTTCAAGCCTGCCTTCCCAATTAAAACTATTTAGCTTTAAAATGCAAGCCCGTTCACCCTGGGTTTGATGTTGCTGCTGAAGGATTCTCGGTTCTGGACCTCAGAAGACCACATGTCCAGGTTTGGGCACCACTGTTCAAGCTCACTAAACGATCTACTCTATGGCTAAGTCTTAAGAAGGTATCAAGAGCTAACCCAGACCAGCAAACAATACTGTTAAGACAGTATTCAGTTGCACATTTTTTTAAATGCTTTTGAAACATTCTGACAATAAAAGTTTCATAGCAAAAAAAGTAAGATTATCATGAATTACAACAAATACAAAGATTAAGTATTCCCTTACCTGGATCATGGAAGGGCACCAAAGCAAAGTTGTGAAGAGGTCTCTTGGGTCTTTTCAAAGACGTCTCCAAAATTTTGGAAGCTCCTTCAATAACCTGAACTAAATCATCATACATGGAACCAGTCACATCAAACACAAAAGCTAACGTGGACGCCCCCTCAGGAATCGCCTCAGCCCTGCTCTCGGACTGGGGGCTCCCATCTCCAGCTAGGGCAGAGTGCAGAAGAGCCCACAGTAATACGGAGTGGATCACTTCCCAGGAAATCATTTTTCTGTCTTTCTTTCTTGCTTGCTGCTTTTCTTTTTCTCCTGTGCTTGCTCCTCCTCAACAGGCAGAGGATGTCCACACCCACACCGGGTGCCTCATGAGCCTCCAGCAGTCTCTGGAATAGTAAAAGTTTGGAGCTCAGAGTGAGTAGGGACCAGCCTGGAGCCGGGCTCCCTCCCGGGGTTGGGCTGGGCAGCGCAGGGATGCGGCGCCTTTTGTCCAGATGCAGCTGGGTCTCGGGCTCTAGGCGGCCGCGTGCGGGGCGCGGGGAGTGGCAGGGCGCGCGGGGTCCGTGCCCCAGGGGGCAGCTGTGAGCCTGCGCCGCCCGCTGCTCTGCGCTCCAGCCGCTGCTCACAGCGGGGCCAGCTACTGAGCTCCCAACTTTCCGCTGCTCGCCTGCAAGGAGGCGAAGCCCGGCTCGACCTCGCCTCCTGATTGGCCAGCAGCCGTCCCTCCTCTGTCGCGGAACTCCCACCCTGAGGGTGACTTTCCCCTCCGCGGGTTCCAGGGTCGCTCCTCACCCTAGAAGCTCTCGCAGTGTCACCTCCAGCGCTCCCACCCTGGTGGTCCCCAACCTCCAAGACCCCGGGTAAACAATCAAGACTGTATGGCTAAGTCCCAAAGCCAGGGACATTGCATTAGCTAACACAAAGGGCATATTTTTTCTAACGTGTGCAGCGCTGCTTCAGACATTTCTTTTATAATTGTCCCCAGAAGCCAAGGCGCCGCAGCTCAGCCTCTGGTCCTTCAGCCCCACCAGGAGTGGGAGCGGGAAAGTTCTCTAGGTCCCCGCGGCGCCGCTGCTTCAGGATGGCTCTTTGATCTCCTTGGGGACTGGAGCTGCGGGGGAAGAGAGGGAGGGGCCTACTGGAGGGGCAAAAAGCCGGAGGAAAAGGATGGGAGATGGGAGGAAAGTGAGAGGCTGCAAGAGCCAGGATGCCACTAGCTCTGGTGAGGGTCTAAAAAGAAAGAAAAAGCTGGGTGTCAACAAAGCATGGGGCCCAATAGGAAGAACTCGGTATTGGAAGGAGGGTGCAGAAAGGATGAAACATGTGGAATTCGTATTAAAGAGAAACCTGGGGGAGCTGTAACTTCATTATCAAGATTCGCTTTGCTGATCACTTTGAATTCTGTACAAAGCATGATGAGGCCGAATTAATATTCCCACTTCACATTTCCTCTCGTACAACCATGTGTATGTCAGATGTCAGACAAAGGTCCCCTCAGACAATATTCCCCTGGATGACATTTTCTTGCCAATATGTAAGGAAGCCTTACCATGAAAAACATTACAATGTGCTGCCGAGTCATAACTATTGCATGCATTATAGTCCTAATAACAGATTTAAGAGGGTAAGCAAAGCGTCAGCCATAACCTAATCATACTTTGCTTCACTTTCATAAGCATATTTTTTTTCCTGGAAAAAGTTATTATTTGAATGCATTCAAAGACTGGCAAAGAGGCCATCTTATCCCGTGTTCCAGTGATTATGAGACCACCCATCCAACAGGAATGCAGACTGAGGAAGAACCAGTCCCCACCCACCTTTTATACTCTGCAACTGTCCTCTCTCTCAGACTCAGCAGCTGGGGGACTTGAGTTTATGATGCCTGTAAGTCATGTCACTGAAAGGAAGCACACAGGCCATTTGGCTGAGTGGGAATGTAAGGAGAGAGAGAACAACTTCCTTTCCAAGTAGTATTTAGAGAATGTTGAATGCTATTTGAGTAGTTCATTCCTTTGTTTATTTAAAAAGGATTTCATTCTAAGTCATAGAGACCTGAGTTATTCCAGGTGTTCAAAGGATGTGAGAGAGTCTAGCAATTAGGAGCTCTGTATTAGGTGGACAGCATGGGTTCTGAGTCCTTTCTGAAAGTAACTGTGACCTTCAGCAAGCTCTTTCCTGTCTTCTTTTATTCACTTGTAAATGGAAATGATGACAGCACTTACCTAATAAGGATTAAATGATCTATAAAAAGTGCTGTTGGGTGAACTGAGTGTTCAATAAATTGTCAATTAGATTAACTTCTCTCATGATGCTCAAATTCTCTGTCTTTGCTGATTTCTGCCCAGATGTGTTCAGTTATTGAGAATAATATTGAAATATCTGACTACAACTGTGAAATTGTCTGCCTCCTTGGAGGTCCATAAATTTTAGCTTTGTGAATTTTGAAGCTCTGTAACCAGATCCAGTTGGTATTATGCCCTCTTGACTAATCAACATACCTTATTGTTCTGAAGTTGCCTTGGTTATCACCCTTATTCTTTGTTCTGAAATGCATCTTCTATCTTCCCCTTGACTAGTTTTGGCACAGTACATGGGTTTCTATCCTTTCCCTTTTAACGTATTTGTGTCATTATATGTAAAAATGTATTTCTTGTAGTCATTGTACAATTGAGTATTTTTATACATCTGATCCAATAATCTCTTCCTTTTTATAAGTGTGTTTAGACATTTACATTCAGTGTGATTAAGAGTATGTTTGAATTAAATCCATCACCTTTCTATCTGTCCTCTCTGCTCTTTTTCCTACTTTTATGATTTATTTTGGATTGACTGATGGTTTTTATTGTCTCAGCATTTCTAGAGTACTATTACTTCTTTTGTTAGTGGTTGCCTCAGGTTTATTCATGTATATCTTTAATTCACCAGTTTCCTTTCAGGTACTATAATACATGACTTCATATAAAAGAACCCCAGACTCAAGCTGGGCAAGTAGCTCAGTACTAGAGTGCTTGCCTTGCATGTAGGAGGCTCTGGATTTGATCCCAAGCACTTAAAAAAATAAATGACTTCAAATTGTAGACTTCCAATTCTCTTCTCCTGAATTATTTTGCTATTATTGCTGTCTATTTTCTTTGTAATAGTGCTTCTTAATCTGCACACAATCTTCTGTAGGGAAGTTCTGCTAGAAATGAACTGCTTCGCTTTGTACATTTAAAAAAGTCCTCATTTTACCTTTATCTCGCGGTTGCTAGGGTAGGAACTTTGAGTGGCAGTGTTCCACTCCACTGGAGTGCGCTCCTCCAGTGCTTTCACCATCTTCTTGCTCACATTATTTCTGGTGAGAAACCTGCATCATTTTTATATGTGCTCTTCTACATGAACCATGCCCTTTTTCCCTTGATGATTTTAAGACTTTTCTTCTTCTTTTTTTAATTGAGTGTATTGCCTGCATGTGTATAAGCGCACCTGTGTCATGCAGTGCCTGCAGAGGTCAGAAGAGGGCATTGGAGTCCCTGGGACTTGAGTTATAACTGATTATTAGCTGCCATGTGGGTGCTGGGAATCAAACTCAGGTCCTCTGCAAGAGCAGTCAGTGCTCTTAACTACCGAGTCATCTCTCCAGCCCTAAAGTTGGGCATTTTGGCACAGTTTTTTCCTCCTTCTTTGTCTCCTACTACACCTTCCTTTGGGAACCTCAAGTCAATATGTATGGGAGACACTTGAAGTCATTCCACAGCTCACTGATATGTCACTCATTTCCTTAATTATTATTTTCTTCCTCATTGTTTCATGTTTTATAGTTTCATTTCATTCTTCGGGTTCTTTTCGTTCTTTCTTTTCTACTGTCTAATCCACCAGTGGTCCCCTCTCATATATTTTTCATCTCAAACCTTGCAGTTTTCATTTCCACAAGTTCAATTTGAATTATATTACATGCAATAGATACATAAATTCAAATTCCAAGTTCTTTCTTGGTACTGAGTTGCTTATGCTAAGGATTCATAATCTTGGAATATCAGACAATGTGAATTTTACTCTGCTGGGTACTATATATCTTTGTATTCTTGTTAATATTCTTGAACTTTGTCCTAGAACAGAGTTAAGATTTTTGGAAGCAGTTCAATCTTTGGAGGTTTACTCATAATTTTTTTTAGGTAAAACCGAAACTGTTTTCAGTCTAGAGCTAATTATTCCCCATTATTGAGAAAAGATCTATTTGTGTACTTTGCCCAATATTCTGTGAATGATGAGTTTTCTGGTTGAAAACACGGTTGAAAGGAGCTGGCAGTGTAGTCTCATCTCTGGGTACCATCACCTTATATCTCCTTAAGTGGTTCTTTCCTGAGCTTTGGGTGTTTTCCTAGCATGAATATGCTCATCAGTACTCAGCTGACTAACCAAAGAGGCTCTCTTCAGATCTCTGAAGTTTTGTATCTACATGGGCCTTTCTGGTACTATCTCCTATGAATTCTAAGTCCCCTTTAACTTTCAGCTCTATTAACTCAGCTCAAGTATCTGGTAGCCTTCACCAGGATTCTGCCTTCACTCACTTTTAGAGACCTGGAAACTCTTTCAAGGTGGCAAACTAGGAAAATTATAGGATTCTCCTTTTTCTATCCCTCTGGAATCATTTTCCTCTTCTTCCTGAGAATACAGTGAAACAATGCTTATAATGCATTTAGCCCAGTGCCTAGCAATGCAATCAGCAAAGTTAAATAGTATTACCATTATATTTATTTTAGAATATAGGAAAGTTTAAACATATATATATATATATATATATTTGTCTTAAGAATACAAAGTATAGAAAGCAACAGACAACCAAAGGGGTTGTTTGTTTGGCCTATTTCTTTGTTTCTATGTCTTTAGTAACCGCTGTAGTGAATGTCTCCCAAAGATTTGGTCCCCACCTGTGGGACTACTTGGTAGTAGGGACCATTCAGGAGGTAGAGCCTAATGAAAGAAAGTTAGGTCACTAGATTTGCCCTCAAAGGAGCTGTGAAGACCTCCACCCCTTCCTGTACATCTTACTTCTCCACTGCTGTAAGATGAGCAGCGCCCTCTGCCCTGCACTCTCTACCATGATTTTGGAAGGCCTAGAAAACACTACAGACCATCTAAAACCCAAAACACTCTGATCCAAAATAGATCTTTCTTTCTCTTAAGTTTACTATCTCATGTATTTTGATAAAATTATTGAAAGCTGATTAACACAGTAGGTACCCTACCATCCTGAAACAACTAAATGGTAACACTTAAGAGTATGTTGAATGTCCACATTAGAAAAGAGAGTAACAACAAAAAAGGAACATTGAGTACTTAAAAGGCATTTTTCTTACATATTCATGTATAGAAATTTATATGTGCCTTCTACAATCTCAATTATGTGTCTCCAGTTTAGCATCCTCTACTTGAGGATCCATGCCTTGGGATAAGAGCAGAGACCATGTAAGCTCTCGCATCCCTTTCAATAAAGTCTAATTTCTATTGAAATGCAGACCTCCAGAGGCAAGCTATCCCACTAGACAGAGATTATAATATTTATTCCTTAGAGTAAATGAATCCCTATAAGCATATTCTGGGAGCAGTCAGCTGAGAAAACTAAGTCGGGAGAAAGTGACAGAAAAGGAGCATAGCCCAGGATGAAGGGAGGGAGGACAGGGCAAAAAATT